CGGGGTGGAAGGGACTGCATGGCTGACCTGCTCCCCTCACTGGCCTTGGCTGGTATGGCCTCAGTGCCCAGGGCGGGCCTCCGGGCCCAGGCGGGATTGGTTGACAGTGGGTTGGGCTGAGCTTTCAGGCTCAGGTCTTTCTGGGGGAATGGCGGGACTAACCCATTGCAGGGAGGTAAGGGCAGAGCCAGCCCCTCAGCCCTGTCCTCGGGCACTCACCCTCCGTCCCTGGGACAGGAGCCCCTTGAGCAGTTAGCGCCATCTCACAACCATCTTAACCGCAGGTCCCTTTCCCCCGTTTAACAGCTGGGGAAACTGAGCAGTGAGAGGGCCGAGGGGCCTTCCCAAGATCACACTGATAGTACATGGAAAATTGGGACTTGGGTCCGGCTGTGTTGGACTTCAGGGCCCGATTCTTTCCAGAGCACTGTACTGACGAGGGAGGGGCCTCATGCCGGCCACATATACAACAGTCCCGGCTGCGGCAGAAATAAAGTCAGGCATGCTGCACAGAGAGATCGACCTAGGAGGGCTTCCTGGAGGAAGAGACCCTCCCCACTCACCGGCTTGTCTTGTTTCTTCCACACTGAAATCCCTGCAGGCCTGGGGCATTCCAAGGACGCAACAGCCCCTGCCCCTGTCGGGGAGCTGGTCCCCAGCAGCTTCCTGGCAGCTGTGGTAGATGCCTTGGACCTGGGCCCCCCGGTTGTGATCAGCCCGTCTCTGAGTGGCATGTACTCGCTGCCCTTCCTCACGGCCCCTGGCTCCCAGCTCCGGGGCTATGTGCCAGTGGCGCCCATCTGCACGGATAAAATCAGTGCTGCCGACTATGCCAGCGTGAAGGTACCCCTGTGGGAGGCTGCGATGCCCCTGCCAGGAGCAAGGGAAATCCCTCTGGGAGTGGGGTAGCGGAGGGGTTGCTTCTGGGAGGAGTTGAACCACCAAACTGTACCCTTCTGCTTGACTTAGATTCCTGTGCCAAGCCTTGTGCCAAATTGTGCTGGGACAGACACAAACCCACACCCCGTCCCTTGGGAGCTGGCTCCCCCCATCCCACTGGGTTAGCGTGTCTCTTCCCTCATGTGGGGTGACCCAGGGAGAGACTGAAGAGACGGGGAGGCCGGGGCCGGCGTGGCAGGTCCCCGTTGATGTTGCCTCTTTCCTCTCTCTAGACCTCAGCGCTGATTGTCTATGGAGACCAGGACCCCATGGGCCAGACCAGCTTTGAGCACCTGAAGCAGCTGCCCAATCACCGGGTGTTGGTCATGGAGGGGGCGGGGCACCCGTGTTACCTTGACAAACCCGAGGAGTGGCACGCGGGGCTGCTGGGTTTCCTGCAGGGACTGGCATGAGTCCTAGCTCTGCTGGGGTGGGGGTGGGGGGCTGCTTGCCTTTCTGGGGCTCTCTCTCTCCCTGCACATCAACAGGTGTGTGTGTCTGTGTCTGCCTGGGTGCTGGTCTTTCGGGTCTGTCTGTCTGTCTTTTCCTCTTTCTCTTGCAGTGACACACTGAGGAGGTGAAATCAAGAGAAAAAAAATCAGGAATCAATGGACGTGATCTGGTGGAGGGTAACCCATTAGATGAGCTTCTGCCGTGGGCTCTCCTGCTCGCTCTCGCTCCTTCCTCTGCTCTGCCCAGCCCACCCCTCCTGCCTCCCACATCTGCCCTGGCTGCCCCAAAGGGCCCTCACAGCCCTATCCCACCTCTTAGGCCACAGTACACACATGCCCATATGCATGCTCACACATGTTCCCAAATATGACCCAACCACACAGGTACAGGCTCCTGCTGGGCTGCACACTCAGGTGCACACATGCATGCTTGTCCGCCTACAGAAGCATCCACATAGGCAGCGCCCTCCCATCCATACAGCACCCCCACGTCTGGGAAGGTGGGGACCCAGAGCCCAGTCCTGCAGGACATCCTCAGCCAGGCTTATGGTGTGGCCTGCCCTGAACTCCACTCCCGATCAGAACTGCCCCCCAAAGAAGAGGACCACCCTTCTGACCCTCAGATCACCCCCTTCCCCCTCCCCGAGGCGCCACACCCTCCCAGGTTGTTAGGCCTGGGTCTTCTGAGCCATACCAAGCTGCTTTCCTGCTCCCAGGCCGGGGGGCGGGGCGCAGAGTGGAGGTCCGTGAAATAAAGTGAAGCAATTAGACCCTCAGGCTCTCGCTGCCTCCAGAGCGTCGCCCCTCCCCCCCCCCTTGGGACCGCCGCCACCACGGGCCCCTCCCCCACCGGCGGGACCAGATGGTCCCCTGCCCTTTGTCCACCCGGCCAGATGGAGGGGAAGGGAGATTGGATTCCCCTCCCCACCCCCACACACCCAGGTGCCAAGAGACTCAGCTGTGGGGGGAGGTGGAGGTCAGTGGGACCGGGCTGAGCCGATTACGGGGGAGAGGGAGGTAGATTTGTTCTGGGGGGGAGGGCGGCAGGGGTGGGGGGCAGGAGGGCCTGGGAACAGCCCTGCCTCCGCCGACTCCAGCCCATTCGCCACCAAAGTCTCAACTTCGCCGGCCTCCCTAGCGACCCCAGCCCCCAAGGGAACTCTGGGGGTGGCCTCGGGGGAATCGCAGGCGGGGTGCCGGGGTCACTTCGTTCTCAGGCCCCTCCTCCGGCTGCTCGGTAACCTGTCCGGGGCG